AATAAAGAGTGCCAGAGAAAAGTGATAACAACAAAAATTGCAATATGAGCTCTGGTAAAAACATGCCATGATAACAGCAAAATTGAAATATGAGAACTGGTAAAAAATGATTGCTGAAGACATTAGGTTTATAATATCCAGAAATTTATCCACTATACCATGTGTCCTCTAGTGGATAAAGGTGTTGGTTAGATCCACTGACAGGACCCAAAGAGTGTGAGTTCAATACCTGGTTAAGGCAGTGGAGAACTTGGGAGGGGAATTAACAGGAGATAACTGATAACTGACATCCATTAAACATGGCACATGGAACAGTCTCAGCAAAATAAAGGGTTCAGTTCGACATTTCAACCACCTGAAGAAGGCCGGAGTGTACAACAGCCAAAACGTAATACAGTGTAACCCGGATATAAGAGACCCGGATATAAGAGAGATTTTCTCTGGTCCCAAATTAGAGCCTGTGTTAATGTATATAAAATAGACTTCTTCTCCGGTCCCAACAACTCTCTTATATCCGGGTTACACTGTAAATATAGCGACAAAAATAAGGATAATAGTCCGAATAATGTAAATAATGTCAATGGTATTGGCCTAACAAATTTTCACTAAAATGTGCCATTTTTTATGTGTTAGACCAACAAACTAGCAAATATGTTTTTAAATTTTCTCAAATATTTCTTGTAACATGTGATCTTTAGAAATTACTATATATTTTTTTTTGTCAAATTTTCTTCTTTATCTCATTTTCTTTCATCTTCAAATTCATAAATCAATGCTTTAATCCACTAGGCAATTTTCCAATGGACATAATAATTGCATGTTCAATCCCTGGGCCAGTCAGTGTGTACTTGGACTCAATGGAAACAAAGTGAGCTATAATTGAATATTACCGAAAATAAGAACTAGACAAGATATATGTAGACTTGGGCAGTGGAACGAGAATAATCTACTCCTGTAGATTAAGTAAACAGTTCAGTTCAGAATTCCCTGTAGGTCATCCAGATCAATATACACCTGATGTAGGCGAGAAGTTACAATGGCCAAACCATTTTGATAACAATAATGAAAATGAGGATAATAGTCCATGTGTAAATAATGTGTTATATTTGATTGCAAGCGATTTCTACCACGTAGTAACAGTATAAAAACTGTTATCAATGTCAAACAGATATCAATAAAAAATATATCTTCTATATCAGTAAAACAGGATAAAAGGCACTAAATAAGATGGCCTAGTGTCAAACGGACAGTTCTGATCTTTTTTCATATGTTGAATCCATTTTTGCTTCACAGTGCAATATTCTTTTATTGCAATCTGCATTACGTACGGTGTCATGTTTGGATTTGGCTTTTGTATTGTCTATGAAATTACACTTAGATGTGCTGTGAAGGTAAGTCAATAACTTGCTCTTTAGATATATATATATATATATATATATATATATATATATATATATATATACAGATTGAAATATAACAGGAAACCTGAAAACAGTGGCTCCTAAAAGCTATAGACAACAAAAAAGTGCTCATATACAAGATTCAAAGTTGAATATGTAGAGCTAAGATATTTAAGAAATGACTAAAATGCTAGATCTCCTCAGATACACTTGCCTGAGGAGACCTTACGGTTGAAACCTGGGTTGCGAGGTAGGCTAGCATTTTAGCCATTCTTTATATATACAGGATGTCCATAAAGTTCGTGTGCACTTTAAAAAATTTATAACTTTATTTGTATTTGCGATAGAATATTTTGTAAAAGAGATTAGAAAGAAGTAAATCTATATTTTTTAATGTTTTATTGAAATTTTATTTAAGTTTCCACATGTCCTCCATCATTAGCCAACATGATGTGGATTCCTTCTGTCTTTTCTACAAATATTTTCATGATAATTTTTCTGATGAGCTTTCTTCATTGATCACTTGACTGCATGAATTTAAGTTTACTAGATTGTCAACTAGTTATCACCATTTTAGTGTTAGCTAGGATACAACTGTGTATTCTATTCTAATAGTTTTTTTTACCCAAACTTCTTGCCTGTGGAACCTCCTTCCAATTTCTTGCATTCCTGACACCTACAATCTTCTAAAATTTAGATGCAACACCAATAATCATCTTCTGTCTTCTTGGATCCTGTTCTTTTATTGTCCTTTCTCCTCAATTCTTTTCACTAAATTCTTCTCTTTTACTTAAGAGTAATCTCTTGTATTCTAGTGGCATTATTACCTTGTTTCTTGCTTGGAGAGAAATTAATATATATATATATATATATATATATATATATATATATATATATATATATAAGTGGTCAGTGAGGCCAACACCAAATGAAAATAGTCTGTTTCATGCTTAAATGCAAACTTCGAGCCAGTATTTACCCAACCTCCACCCAAGGCAGGATGTGGCACAAGGCCAATTTTTATGCGGGGCATTTCAAACTCATAGGCTTTGGCAAAAATTTTCTGTAGACCCTGCATACATGGAGTCAGATATGTCTACCTCCCCAGATGGGACGCTTTTCTTCAGCATGGCCTCATCTGGGTTCCTCTCTTTCCAAAAGCAGAGATTTTGACATCTTGTTGCTTGCTCAAGCCTAAGCTGGAAAGCACACCCCAAAATGCAGTCTTCAAGCCATGTTTGCTGTGTGTTGGCTCAACTATTTATATATACAGATCAGTGGTGCATTATGGGTAGAAGGTCTATAGTATTACCCTAATAGTTATTGGGTGGGTGGTAACAGCTGTTTTAAATTATTCTAGAGGCTATTGAACAGAAATAATTGTCGATCTGAACAGTTACTTGTAGCTATTTTATATTGTTATTTGTTAAATTTTATTTAATCATTATTTATTATTGATTAATTTATTATTGATTATTACATTTACTTGTCTTTATGTGGGCATTCATAGTTTTATTAATTTGTTTATATTTTTTTTGTATTTGAATTTACATACATTCTATCCCTGATATTGAGCACTTTAACCCATAATATAGCATACCATAAAACTATATTTTTATCATATATGCATACAGTGGGGGGAAAGAAATATTTGTATACCATGAATTTTTTTATTTACCATAGATTTTATAAAAGAATTTTAAAATCCATACAATATTTATATAAAAAATGGCTTAATGCTGCAATATACCATGCCAAAAATTCAGAAAAATTTCTTATATTAATGAAATTATATGAAATTAAAAAATTTGGAGGTGAAAAAGTATTCATAGAAAATTACAATACCTATTTAATACTTTGTAGAATATTCTTTACTCAATTCAATAAAAATCAGTCTCTTTCTGTAGCTTTTAATCAATGATTTGCAAGTTTTCATTTTACACCATACTTTGCATATTCTCTTTAAGTCCAGGGTGTTTTTGTAGCTCTTTTATTAACTTGCACCACAAATTCTCTATTGGATTTAAGTCTGGTGACTGTGATGGCCATCCGAGTGTATTGACATTGTTTTCAATAAGCCATTTTTTTGTAGATTTAGTCATATGTTTAGGGTTATTATCTTGTTGTAAAACCCATTCATTTGGGAGTCTGAGCTTTACTACTAACCCAAACAAATTAAAGTCCAAAACATCTTGGCATATTTTTAAATTTATTCTATCATCTATTATCTCTAAATTACCCATACCATTAACAGAAAAACATCCACAAGCCATGATATTGTCACCACCAAATTTCACTGTTGGGATTGTGTTCTTTGATGCAAACGTGAGCCCTTGAATTACATTCAAATAGTTCAATTTTTTGTTTCATCTGTCCATAAAACACCTTCCCAAAGTGATTCAGGTTTATTCTTATGCTCATAAACAATTTTTAACTGGGCATCCCTATGTTCTGTCAATAGTAGTGGAGTTTTTCCTTGAGATTTTAGTTGACTTCTATGAAGGTCATTTGGTTATTGTTCGCTTCAATAGTACCTGATGCTATTAATTCTTCCTGTATTTCTCTCCAAGTAATCATTGGAGTTTCTTGAATTTTGTGCTGAATTCTTCTCATTGATCTGCAAGAAATCTTGTGTGGTGCACAAGATCTTGATTTGTTCTTAACAGTTTTCACCTTTTTATACTTAGCAATAACAGAAATAATAGCAGTAAATGGTATATTCAGGATATCTGCTATTTTCCTATAGTTTGCCTTTCTTCCAATGTTTGATGACCAATTCTTTTTGTGAATTTAATAGTTCCTTGCCTTTCCCCATGATGATAATTATTGTGTATGATTTGTGTACAGAGATAACCTTATATAAGAAATGAATTATGTAATGTTCTAAATTGTTCCGATAATAACATAATTGGAAGAATCTACCAAATCATACAGAGATTTATATAAATAAAGATAATTTAAGCCTTTTGAAAATGTTGTAACCTAGGGAAGGTTACTGAATAGAATAATCACACAAAGGTTGGTAATGAACGATAATACTTAGGACAAGAACAACACATATAAGATTCACCAGCAGCACGTAGAAGTAGTCAACTGCTAGGAGTCAAGTGAATTCCACAATGAATATCCAACTGCAGGATATCTACCAACTGCCACACAGTCAGATGTGGCACAAGGCCGAATTTAATGTTAGGTATCCAATCATGTAGACCACGTATAAATTGGGGTCAAGTAGCTGTTTCCTGAGATGAGACTCTGCCTTTTGATGTAGCATCATCTGGGGATCCTCTCTGCCCAGAAGCAGATAGTTTGACTAGCACAGCTGGAGACAAATCTCCAACTACAGACCAACATACAGTATTTACTACTGTATTTATGTAAATGGGGACATGCCTATTATCATCCATAGGTATGCTACAACAGATATTAAAAACATATTTTGTACAAATATTTTTTTCATCTCAAAATTTTATAAATAATACATAATTTCATTTATAACTAAGTTTTCTAATTGTTTTTTGCATATTGCAGTATTATGCAATGGTGTAGAAATATTGTATGGATTCTAATTTTTCATAAAGATCGTATCAAAGAACTTACCCATTTACTTCCACTCTGGCAACTTTGTTATGTGGATTGAGATAACTTGTTTGGATGTAATTAAAAATGAATGATCCTCCTCCAAAGCCAGCCACAATAAATCCACTGAAAAGACCTTTGCGATCTGGAGCCCACTGAAAAAGAAACAATGACATCATAAATGTAATATTTGTCATATCAAAACATCTTTATGAGAAAATACAGAAAGGCTCATCATAAAACTAGAACAAATATTTCTAGGTTCCCTGAAAAAGCTAACAATGGATGTGACAACCTATTTATCTAGAAGATAGTTATTAGAAAATCGCTGGTTCATATGGCCATTTTTTCTCTTTTTATAGTATACTCGAGACAAAATAGTTTTTGTTTACAATGGGACAGTTTTCAGGGAAAAATCGATTCATGCCTTTCTCATAAATATAAACAACTATAACCAGTCTCAGATAAAATTTGAATTTTCTTTTCCCATTCCTTTAACTACTTCACACCAATAAAATAATAATACTCACAGTTTGACTTCTTTTTGCTCTGAATGTTGTTAACATAACATTTCAGCTATTTTTAGTCTTTGTTATATACATAATTTAATTTGCGCTAAATGCAGATGAAATAAAACTACAAGTCATTTTAAAATGATGTGATTTTATTTAATTAATAAAAAGGTGGTGGGGAAGTTTCCTGTGCAGACCCTGGAATTGCCAGCTTACATAATGGGTAGAATTCATTGATCCTATTGGTGTATTAATGAGCCCCTTTTTTGGTGATCATTTTTTTATTTCTTTTTTTATGGTTAATACACCTGACAAAGGCTGAAGAATGGATCAGCTGTTTTTTTATAGCACCAAAAACAAAGAATTAGTTCAGTTGTACAAATAAGGTGCAGAATATTAATACAAGATAAATTTGTTCTTAAAACAATATATTTTTCATTAGATTTTGTTCAAAATAGGAAATAAATTTATGGTGAAGTGATTGCTTGTACATTCAGATGTTACAGAAAATTTCTCTTGATCATTTTGTTAGATTTTGGAATATGTATGATGTCAAGAACTTTTCAGTACTCCCTGGTATTCAATATTGCACAGAATGTATGCAATAAGTTTCCTTGTCTTTAGTACAATGTTTTGCCTGCTGTACATTCTGGCCATCTTCATTTATGAATTAAGAGATAATGGGTTTTAAATATTATACATTAGTTTCTTTGTTTTACTGCTCTTAAATAGTGTTCTAGCTGCTGTAACTTTTAGCCTTCATTGAGTTTCTTTTGCATTTGGTAGCCCTTAGCTTTCTTTGGGTGCCTTTTGCATTTGGTAATGCTTAGCCTTCTTTGGGTGCCTTTTGCATTTGGTAACCCTTAGCTTTCTTTGGGTGCATTTTGCATTTGATAGCCCTTAGCCTTCTTTGGGTGCCTTTTGCATTTGGTGCTTTTTCTTTGGGTGCCTTTTGCATTTGGTAACAACAGCCTTCTTTGGGTGCCTTTTTGCATTTGGTAGCCCTTTAGCTTTCTTTGGGTGCCTTTTTGCATTTGGTAACGCTTTGGGTGCCTTCTTTGGGTGCCTTTTGCATTTGATAACCCTTAGCCTTCTTTGGGTGCCTTTTGCATTTGGTAGCCCTTAGCTTTCTTTGGGTGCCTTTTGCATTTGGTAACGCTTAGCCTTCTTTGGGTGCCTTTTGCATTTGGTAGCCCTTTAGGGTGCCTTTTTTTGGGTGCCTTTTGCATTTTTTGTAACCCTTATTTTGGGTGCCTTTTTTGCTTTTAACCCTTAGCTTTTGGGTGCATTTTGCATTTGATAGCCCTTAACCTTCTTTTGGTTTGGTAGCCTTTTTTCTTTATATTTTGTAACCATTAGCCTTCTTTGGGTGCCTTTTGCATATGGTAGCCCTTAGCTTTCTTTGGGTGCCTTTTGCATTTGGTAGCCTTTAGCCTTCTTGGAAGTCTTTAGCCTGAAATCTTTACTTGATTTATTGATTTCTGTTCTAATTACTTTCCTATTTTCCCATCTTTAAATGAAATATCAAAACTTTTAGCAATTCATTACGTGCCAATCTATATATATATATATATATATATATGAAGAAATATTGTTTTAAGGCTATATTTATGGGATAAAGTGCTCACTATCAGAGACAGAGTGTATAAAAGTGACATAGCCTGATGATTGCATCTAACATGAAACAGCCTGTCACCTCTGAGTGCTGACTTCAATATTCACTTTATATAATATTCATTTATATATATATATATATATATATATATATATATATATATATATATATATATATAATTTATCATGATTTATTTACAGTATTTATATTTGGAGTACTGTCCTCATCACTTTCTTTTATCACATTTCTGCCAAAGAGCACAATGGCTGAAATGTGATAAAAACAAAAAAGATGAGGACAATACTCCAAATATAAATAATATAAATAACATTAGGAATTTTTAGACAGAACAGCAGTCAAAATATTATGTCAAAATCAACAAAGATGAATGATGATAAACTACATCTGGCAGCAAGGCCTCTGATCAGAATCTTTGAGGTTTTGAGGGGCATGGGACCACCTCTTAATTGCTGTTGTTCCCTGGTCTACCCTGACCCAAGGTGGTAGCAAACAAAAAAAACCCTATGGAAGTATAAATATACATTTTTATAGTAAAATGACCAACAATACCTATTTATAGTAAAATTACTAATAATACTGTAGATGAAGCCATAAAATTGCATTCAAAATATTTAGATTTCTGCATTAAATAACCCATAGGGGCTGATATGCCGCTAAACAAAATCAACCAAATCAAACAACAAAGATGAGTATCATTTCAGGAATTCAAACTAATTCTTTTTGTTCTTGCCAAGAGAATGAGATCCTAAGGCAAAAATATTCTGATAATACTGAATGGATCTCTTCTCGACTTTTAAATATTTGGTTACAGCAAAAACATTCTAGGGACCTGATTAAATGGAATCCTTAAGGGGACCTGATTAAATGGAACTCTTAAGAGGATCTGATTTAATGGAAACTTTGAGATGGTCAAAGGAGGATACAGTAAAGCATCCAAAAATTTGATCTTTAACTGAGTTTATTTATATGAAGAGTATCAGATTACACTGTCATTCCAGTCATATTTTATGCCAACCAAACAGGTAATGTTTCTGCAAATTTCACTTTTCATTCATTAGCTATTGTTTCAAAATGAGGTACCCAGATATATACTAAATGCAGCTCAATAAATCTTATACAAAGACACAACTGTGGATATGTAAGCATCAAATTGACTATATTATTCATATGACGTCACGAGCCCTGTAACATGTTAGAGTTGTAGGGTCATCACATTTGTTGCCGCTAGTGTATCTAAGGCAAGATAGCATGATAGATCCCATCCCTCATCAGGGTAGTTTTCCTTTTCTTAGATTGGTTGTCACTTCAAGGAAAGAGAGCCCAGTCGGCTCTGTTATTTAACATATAGCTGGAGGAAGAAGGGTGTTTGTATGAAAGTGAATGCAATGAATTAATGAAATCCAAAGAAGAATTTGCAATGTTATTGGTTCTGATCTGGTATCTTGCCATCTGTTTCTTTTCTACTGCCATAACATAGTTTAGCTATGCCTTTTCTATAAATACTTTCATGGTTAATTGTTCTAAGGAGCTTTCTTCTATCATATGTAGACTTTATGAATTTAAGCACAGTAATAAATTAGTGGCAAGATCTCGTTATTTTACAGTTGAAATGGTTAGACGTGACTGTAAATTCGACCATTGCACTTCTTGCTTCTATATCTCTGAGATAAGTTATTATGATTACTTACATTATTCAGACTGTTAACCCCATCTTCATTGCCATATTCACGTTTCAGCCATTGTACATTCCAGCCTTCTTCAGGTGATTGAAATTTCAAATCGGACCCTTTATTTCGTACACTGAGTGTTATACCGAAACATACCTATTCTATTGCTAATAGACTCTCCCACAGATAATAAGTAGTAGTAGTAGTAGCAGTTGCCAGGGGGGCTCAGTGGAGTTGGTGTGTCAGTCGATGTCGCACATTAAAGTATCATCACCACAACTAGATTGCTGCATCATTAACTATTATTTCAAGTTCCTAACATTTTGTACGTTGAACTCTTTTAGAACCGACTTAGTGAAATACAAGCCTCCACTGTGAAAACTACTCTACAACACTGAGGTAAATTGTTCTCGTTCCACGTGCCATGCCTCTTCTGGATGTCTCAGTTATTTCTCTTTAGCTCAACTCTCCAAGTTTGGTTCACCACTGCTGTGGCCTGGTACTGAACTCACAACTCTTTGGGTCTAGTCATGGATCTAACCAACATCTTTATCCATTGGGCCATGTGTCCTTGAGGAAGGACACATGGCCCAGTAAGTAATCACTTCTTGTTTGTGGAACTCTCTTCTGGCTTCTTGCTTTCCAGTCAATTTTGATCTTCAAAAATGTAAATGAAATGTCAATTGTTATCTTTTGTCTTCTTAATTCTTGTTCTTTTATTGTTCTCTCTCCTTAATAGTAGTTTTTTTTTCATATTCTCTAACACTCAGTAACTCCTTGAATCATAGTGTCTTTTTTGCCTTGCTTGGGGTGAAATGATTAAAAAAACAAAAAATACTTGCCAACATCTCTTTCTGAATTACTGTTACACTACCTATACATTCTACTAGAGTATTAACGGTTTGTAAAACAAGATTTCTAATCACTACTCTACCAGCAAACATCTTTATTGATATTTACTATCTTTAGATTAGCCAGTCATAAGGAGGACTCACTACATTCCTAATGGTTTGCTAAACTAAAATATTAACCACTACTATAAAGCGGGTACATTAGACTATTTTTTAAATGCCTCCCCATGTGGGTAAAATATGATATTTGGTCATTTTAACATGGGAAAGTGGCCACTACAATACCTCATCTCTCTCCTTATAATGCAATAGGGTGTGCTGCACAAATTAGAATCCCAAGGAAAAAGGTTGCCTTATTTTTGGAACATCCTGCCTGAAGATAAAATCAAGCTGTAGAGGAACAGATACTGTACTTTGATCCCAACTTGAAGATCAAGTGATTCCACTTTAAACTATACATGAACGTACCCAGCAATGTTTGGGTTTTAATAAAATTCAATCTATTATGCTTTA